TCAGCAGACTTGGCGAAATTCTAAGCTCGGGAACAGTCCAGCTGAGGCTGGTAATTGGAAGTATAGTTGATATTACCGTAGTAGAAATATGTATCCTATCCAAGTGCCCCTTGCTTGCCCCTTCATATTGGACTGCCGTTCACAGGTTTCTCATCACCCATATATCTAATTTGCTGAAACTGCCTCCTTTCCGCTGTGCCCTAATACCGACTCCAGCGTGAGGCGTGGCAGAAAGAGAGCCAGCCCTTTTGGAGGTACGAAGCTAAAAGAAAGAAAGAAAGAAAGAAAGAAAGTAACCGGGTCCTATCCTGTTCTTGTCCCGCCTTGCACCTGAGGCGCTAGACCGGATGTGGTCAAGCGCTGGTCCCCGGCCGGGGAATGCCCAGGAAATGCCAAGGTGCAACCCGCAAAACTGGGCCCCCAAAGCGGCAAGGGGCTAGCCTGATGAGGCTTAGACCCGTCACATCTGCCAGGATGCTTGCTTGCAGTCGTTCGCTGCTGTGTGGAAAGTGTGTGGAGGGAAGGAGTGTGTGGCGGACGGTTGTGTGGAGGGTTGTGTGGTTATAGTAGGTGTGTAGGATGTGTAGGGTGTGTAGGATGTGTAGGATGTGTAGGGTGTGTAGTGTGTAGTGTGTAGGGTGTGTAGTGTGTAGTGTGTAGTGTGTGTAGTGTCTGTGTGTGCCGCTGCTGCAGTAGTTGTCCGCAAGTGCTCGTGCTCTGTTCCTCTCTCCTCTCGCCTCGCCCCCTTCTTGTCTCTTCTCTCGTCTCTCTTCTCTCCGCCTTTTCCTCCTCCTCCTCCTCCTCCTCCTCCTCCCCCATCTCCTCTTCCTCATCTTCCGTTTTCCTGCTGGTTCTCTTCTTTGTTCTCTATCTCGTTTTTCATCTTCATCTTCTTCTTCTTCTTCATCATCATCATCTTCTTCTTCTTCTGTTCCTTGTTCCTGTTCCTGTTCCTGTTCCTGTTTTCTTCTCTTTCTCTCTCTCTTTCCCCCCCGCCCTCTCTCTCTCTCTCTCACTCACACACTCTCTCACACACACACACACTCTCTCACACTCTCTCACACACTCACACTCTCACACTCTCTCTTTCTCTCTCTCTCTCTCTCTCTCTCTCTCTCTCCTCTCTCTCCTCTCTCTTCTATCCTGTCTGGTCTCTGTTCTTGTGTCCCCTCGTACGTCAGAGCTTTTTTGCTTCTTTTTCCCTTTCTCCTCCACTCCCACTCCCACTCTCACTCCTCGCTTTCGATCCCTCCATCTCTCCCTCATCCTCCACCTCCCCCCACTTATCCCCAACCTTGCCAACCTCTCCTTCCTCCGTTCATCAATCTCATCGGAATATCAAAGGCGTCGGCATTTTTTGAGTACTTTTCATCTCGTGTCTCTCGTCTTCCGTTTCCCAGCCTCTCTTCTTCGTTTTTTCCCCTCTTGTCCCTACTATTTATTAGGAAGTTTCTCCTTGCGTGTTTAACCGGTAACTAGTCCGTGTGGGTGCAACCAGGGATCAAAAGAAAAAGGGCAGAAGAAGAGAAAGTTTTTATTAAACAGCAGCAACAACCACCACTCAAGAAAAAGAAAAAAAAAAGGAAAAAAGGAAAAAAAAAGAAAGAAGGAGAAAAAAAAAAGAAAAGAAAAATAATTATAACCTCCTCCTTTTTCTTTTCTTCTTATTACTGTCACCTTGAATTGCTTGTACCAGGTACACAATCGAGAATAATCTACTTCAACTTTTTTCGATCCTTCATCAAAGAATACCCACCGTTTTCAACGTTTCTACAGTTTCGACTATCTGTCTTCCCCTTGATTCGAACTTGGTTCAGTTTCAATTCTCCTGTACGTATTTCTCTCACGTCCGCCTGTCCTGACACAGCGGGTCCATTGGATCACACCCCTTTCCCCCTTCGAGCTTCTTAAGTGACAATCCCTTTTCCTCCACCATTCCAGTCAAACTCACCCATCCTCCTTCTTTCATTCACATTGTTCACACTTTATTCACACCGCTCCTCTATCTATCATAGTTTGAACTGACCAAAGAAACAAAAACAGTCAAGCCTACCTCTTTCATCCTTCGCAATCGTGTCGCCGAGCCTGCTTGTATAATCTTTGTTGTCAGAGTTAGCAGCCTTTCCATTCGATATCTTCTCTTGCGCGAAATATATCCATTCATCCATCCATCCCTCCCATTTCTCTTTTCCTGCCTTCTACGCAATGGCTGAAAACGCCCCACCCACCACTTCTTCCACTCTCCCTCCCCCTCCCCAATCCTCTGCAGGTGCCCCTGGTCAACAGCAGCAGCAGCAACAGCAATTCGATGGGTCCCAGGGCAGCAACAATAGTCAGGGTGGCAATCCCTCCCACATGCCTCCTCCACCTCTTGCTCCAGTCGTCATCCCGCAGAACACCAACCCGATTCCCACCGCGATCACCTCCCCAATGTCAGGCAATATGATGTCCCCTACTTCCGCAGGTGGCTTTGTGCGTCGTGCGGCCCCGGAACCAAACAAGCGCGCCCTGTACGTGGGTGGTCTTGACCCTCGCGTCACCGAAGACATCTTGAGACAGATCTTTGAGACCACCGGGCACGTGCAGAGTGTCAAGATCATTCCCGACAAGAATGTAAGCAGCTACACAACGAAACGGCTGTCACTGGATTCTCTCTCGCCTCCCGTGTGCCTTTCACTGGATTCTCGCTAACATTGCCTATTTCCGCTTTTTGCGTTCCACCTGTGCTTTCAATGTCGTCTCCTAATGTTTCCCCTCTCGTCCTTTTCTATCCTACTTCCCCTTCTACTTTCCATTCCACCACCAACGTCACCACCAATCACCATCATCAATTCATCCATTTTTTTTTTTTTTTTTTTTTTTTTTTTTTTTTTTTTTTTTTTACAAACCAGAAACCGGACTCACTAACGATATTCTTCTCTACAGAGCAAAGGATTGAACTACGGTTTCGTTGAGTACGACGATCCTGGAGCCGCTGAACGAGCCATGGCTACCCTCAATGGACGCCGTGTGCACCAATCCGTAAGTGGTCGAATCGATCTTTCTCCCTTCAAAACAGAATTATAACATTCCCTCTCTAAAACCCCACCCCCTCCAACAGGAAATTCGCGTCAACTGGGCCTACCAATCCAACAGCAACAACAAAGAGGACACATCAAACCACTTCCACATCTTCGTAGGCGATCTCTCCAACGAAGTAAACGATGAAGTCCTCCTCCAAGCCTTCTCGGCGTTTGGCTCCGTCTCCGAGGCTCGCGTCATGTGGGATATGAAAACCGGCCGCTCGCGTGGCTATGGCTTCGTCGCCTTCCGCGAACGTTCTGATGCAGAAAAAGCTCTCAGCTCCATGGACGGCGAGTGGCTGGGATCCCGCGCCATACGCTGCAACTGGGCCAACCAAAAGGGTCAACCGTCCATCTCGCAGCAGCAGGCTATGGCTGCGATGGGTATGACGCCCACCACTCCCTTCGGGCACCATCATTTTCCCACCCATGGTGTGCAAAGTTATGATATGGTTGTTGCGCAAACGCCGCAGTGGCAGACCACTTGCTACGTTGGCAACCTTACGCCGTACACGACGCAAAATGACCTTGTGCCTTTGTTTCAGAATTTCGGATACGTTGTTGAGACGCGCTTCCAGGCTGATCGCGGGTTTGCTTTTGTGAAGATGGATACGCACGAGAATGCTGCGATGGCTATTTGTCAGTTGAGCGGGTATAACGTTAATGGACGCCCGTTGAAGTGTAGCGTAAGTTTATAAACCCTCCCTTTCCCCTTCTGTGCTAATCATGCCAAAAATAAAAAAAATAACAACACAACACCAATATCAAAACGAACAACATTTTAACAAATCATTCATCTTATATAAACAGTGGGGAAAGGACCGCCCGCCAACAGGGCAGTTTGAAGGATACTCGCCTCAGCAACAGCAGCAGCAGGCTGGCACGCCAACCTTCAACTCCAATACCTCGCCTTATTTCCCGCAATATAGCGGGCCGAGCGGTCCTATGACTCCCCAAGGTAGGTAGTTAGTGCTCCCCATCTCCCCTTTCCCCACTCCCTTCCCTGCTTTCCCAGCCCCTCCTCTCCCGTCCTCAACCCACAATCCAGCACACGAGCTAACACACCCAACCACCAGGCGGTGCCGTCCCCTCCCCATCCTCCCGCGGCTGGGACCAACAATCCGCCCCCTTCGGTGGGCCCGGTATGCCCGGTGCAGCGTACGGTCAGCAACTTCCCGGCGGCGGTGTTAATGTTGGCGGGGGTGTAGGGGTAGGTGGTCAGGGTGGTTATGGGGGCCATGGTCGTGGTGGACAAGGGGGGCAGGGGCAAGGTGGTTGGGGTGGTCAGCCTGGCGGGCCTAATGGGGGTGTAGTTGGGGGTGTAGGTGTAGGTGGGGGTGGGGGCTTTGGGAATGGGTTTGGGGGTTATCAGGGATGAGAGGTGACGGTAATGGGTTAAGATGGGGGAGGGAGGAGGGAGGTTGATGTTCCTGGATACCCCTCTCTGTCATTTTTCGTTTGATGTTATACATACCTAACCCCCTCCTCCCCCCTTTACCTTTCCACTCCACTCCCAAAGCCCAAGGTTCCAAAACAGGTGTCTCTTTGATTTCTGTTCCAATCTATCATCCGAAGGAACCAACGCGCAACACGCACCCGGGATTCGGTGAATAGTTTCTAGTTTCTGGGTTTCTTGTTTCCATCGTCTACCCTGCTTCCCTGCTTTATCTGTTTTACCTCATCTACCTCGTTCCCCGTTACAATTCCCCACCGCGTTCCGTCCACAATCTCCCATATATTTCTTGTCCTGTCGTTTCATTTTATCTTATGTGTTTGTTTCTCATCTACTGGTTTACGGTCTATCGTCTTTTTTTGTTTTGTGTTTGAATTTGTGTTTCTCAATCGTCTACTCTCTGCTCTGTGCTTGTGCAATTCTGATTTATTTTAACGCCATCTCCATTTCCACATCCCCAAAATTGTCCTTCTTACTTCTTCTTTACCTAAAAAATTAACCAAAATGGCCTTCGAAGTCTTTTCTTGCCTTGTCTTTTTTTCTTTAATATCCCCCCCCTTTTTTTTGTTTTGTTTTATCTTCGTCAAGTTAAAAGTCAACAGCGTATCTCCTTCCTCCCTCTTCCCTCCACCCCTGTAACTTCCTCCGACCTCGTCCGTTCCCTTCTAAATGAAGCCCTTATGATATTTCCTCTCTGTTTCTTGTTTCTCTAAATTGAAAGTCAAACCAAATACCCCACGGTTTTCTTATTTCCTTTTTTTTCCCCCTCTCTCTTTTTACATAAATATATTTCTCTGCAATGCTCTTGTCTGTTTTTGCTAAGAGAACTTTATTTTTTGCTCTCTTATTCTCAAATAAATTTTAACCAAATATCCATTTAAAGTCTTCCTGAACCTCTCTCTCTCTCTCTCTCTCTCTCTCTTTTCTTCTCTGTGTCTGTGTGCTTGTGTCGTTCTCTTTTTGTTCTCATCCCACAGCACCTGATCTGATATCCCTCTTCGGCCTATGCAGTTCTGCCTGCCAGCGCATTCCCCAACTCTCTCTTTTCGCAATACCTCCATTACCATTGCTGTCTTCTTGAGAATCAACGTCTTTCGTATTTTTACGTAGCATCGATGCCCATTTGAGGCTTGTCAATTTTTACTGATATTTAATTATTTTCGGGGTAATTTTCTTCTTTTACTCTCTCATTGTCTTCATTCACACACACACATATATATATATATACACCTTAGTTAACCCGTCAAATTTGTATTTATTTATCTTTAATTGAATGCAATTCATGAGAAGTTGAGTGCTGTTTTCCTGAACAATTTTGGCATCCTTTCTCTTTTTTGTGAAAGCACATCTGCTCTGACAGGTTGTATATACCACTGAGGCATGATATACTTCTTCCTTCTTTTGTCGTAATCATAGGATTTGTGAGTATGATGAATTCTATGAAGTGTATGTATTACAGATGTCCGATTTCTTTGGAGAAAGTTTCTTTTATTCATTGGTTCTTGGTCTGAGTCCTGTGTAATCAATCACTTCCATTTCTTATAGACCTTGTTAATTCAGCCTTCTAAAATCTTTCCCTTGTATGCTCTGAAGATATTTATCTTTTTCTGCTACATCAATTAGAAGTGTATTTCATATATAGATCGTGAAGGACGTCGGCATCCTTCTTTTGTGGTTGTAGCTTACTCCACACTGAATTGTCTAGTGGATGGTCGTTCTGGAGCCGCAGGGATGCCCCGATTGAGCTTCCTGAGTCTCCAGACTTCCGCCGTTCTTTCACTCACCACACACTTCACATTGCAAAGCATATATCTATCTATCCATCCCAATCACCGCCACGTCTGGCACGGGGGCCTTTTGATTTATTCACTTTATTTTATCTTATTACATCTGTATTTATCGCATCTATTCTGTACCTATAATCTAATACCACCGCCCCATTGACCAAAGCTGCATACACTGACTGCCTACGTCCCCACAACATCGATAGTAGAATCACGCCGCACCAGTTATCCCGCATTGGACCTTACACCCCCCGTGCGCGCACACACGCGCAAAAGGGAAGAAGATTCATCAGAAATCAAATCCTCATATTCTGCCCATACCATCCTCATGGAAAATGCGACTGCGACCGCGACCACCAGCCGGAGCTGGTCGCCGTCCCCGTCCCCGTCCCCGTCCACCCTGCTGCGAAGCCGTTCAGATGGCACAGACATTACCAGCATCAGCAACGGCAATAGCAACAGCAACAACAACAGTAACCACAGCAGCGCTGGCAGTCTCAGAAGCAGCAGAAGCAGCAGCAGTAGCGCAAGCACGAGCCTCAAGCGCAACATATCCACCTCTCTCCTTTCGCGTTTATCATTTTCGCACGGTGGCCCTGCGAACATGAGCCAGAGCCAGAGCCAGAGCCAGAGCCAGAATAAAGTCCCGGACGACGATGAGGAGGAGGGAGGACACGATGGGCGGTTTGGACCGGGTGATGGGAATGAGTATAATAATAGTGTTGAAGGGTTCGGAAGCGGCGGTGGAGGAGAGATTGGGATTGAAGCGGGACGTGGGGGAGCTCTGGCTAACGCGCTGCAGCAGCAGCGGCGCAAATCGCAGAGGAGGAAAAGGTCGTTGAGGAAGACGACGTTGTTGGGGACGACGGCGTTGAGGATGGAGGGGAAGGAGGGAAGAGAGAAGAGAGAGAAGAGAGAGAAGGAGAAGAAGGAGACGATTGGAGGATGGGGTCGGGGGGGTTCTGTTTCGCCGGGGGCGGGGATGGTTGTCGATACTGCTGCTGCTACTACTGCTGCTACTACTACTACTGCTGCTGCTACTACTACTACTATTACTGCTGCTGCTGCTGCTGCTGCTGCTGCTGCTGCTATGGGGGATGGTCGGGGACAAGCGGAAGGGGGGGAGCAATTCGGGTTCTAGTTGATGCTGACGGGAATGACTCAGCGAGATGGCAGTGGAAGGTACAGTCCGGCGGGTCAACTGCGCTTTTC